TCAACGAGGGGGTAATGACTGTTTGGGTTTCCCAGCAGAGGTTGCTGGATCAGATCATGGCCCAGTCAGCGCTGCAGACTGGCACTGTGAAGAGGACTCCATGCCAGAAATGCGTTCCTCCTCAGATAAAAATAATGTGATGGCAATGAAATGTAAATGAAATGTAAATGTCAAGTCTCAATTGCATAAAATTAAAGGCAGAATGAGGTTCCATCTCGTTTAGACATCCCATTTAGCCAGTAGCCACTCAAAAAAAGTCTAAAATATATACACATATGATAACGAACCTGCCAGGTAAAGGCTATTATTACTTTAATAAAGGTTATTTGTTTCAATCTGTGTCATAGGTTAATACTGCAGCACATGCAGAAAACAAATAAGGAGGGAGGAGACTGAGAAGAAAGAGGGCGGGGACAGGAATTAATGAGCTGTTATTCAGGTAGTATAGTGGGCTGTTATTCATGTAGTATAGTGGGCTGTTATTCATGTAGTATAGTGGGCTGTTATTCATGTAGTATAGTGGGCTGTTATTCATGTAGTATAGTGGGCTGTTATTCATGTAGTATAGTGGGCTGTTATTCATGTATTATAGTGGGCTGTTATTCATGTATAGTGAGCTGTTATTCATGTATTATAGTGGGCTGTTATTCATGTAGTATAGTGGGCTGTTATTCATGTATTATAGTGGGCTGTTATTCATGTAGTATAGTGGGCTGTTATTCATGTAGTATAGTGGGCTGTTATTCATGTAGTCTAGTGAGCTGTTATTCAGGTAGTATAGTGGGCTGTTATTCATGTAGTATAGTGGGCTGTTATTCATGTAGTATAGTGGGCTGTTATTCATGTAGTATAGTGGGCTGTTATTCATATAGTATAGTGGGCTGTTATTCATGTAGTATAGTGTGCTGTTATTCATGTAGTATAGTGGGCTGTTATTCATGTAGTATAGTGGGCTGTTATTCATGTATTATAGTGGGCTGTTATTCATGTAGTATAGTGGGCTGTTATTCATGTAGTATAGTGGGCTGTTATTCATGTAGTCTAGTGAGCTGTTATTCAGGTAGTATAGTGGGCTGTTATTCATGTATTATAGTGGGCTGTTATTCATGTAGTATAGTGGGCTGTTATTCATGTAGTCTAGTGGGCTGTTATTCATGTAGTATAGTGTGCTGTTATTCATGTAGTATAGTGGGCTGTTATTCATATAGTATAGTGGGCTGTTATTCATGTAGTATAGTGGGCTGTTATTCATGTAGTATAGTGGGCTGTTATTCATGTAGTATAGTGGGCTGTTATTCATGTAGTATAGTGGGCTGTTATTCATGTAGTCTAGTGAGCTGTTATTCAGGTAGTATAGTGGGCTGTTATTCATGTAGTCTAGTGAGCTGTTATTCAGGTAGTATAGTGGGCTGTTATTCATGTAGTCTAGTGAGCTGTTATTCAGGTAGTATAGTGGGCTGTTATTCATGTAGTATAGTGAGCTGTTATTCAGGTAGTATAGTGGGCTGTTATTCATGTAGTATAGTGAGCTGTTATTCAGGTAGTATAGTGGGCTGTTATTCATGTAGTATAGTGGGCTGTTATTCATGTAGTATAGTGGGCTGTTATTCATGTAGTATAGTGGGCTGTTATTCATGTAGTATAGTGGGCTGTTATTCATGTAGTATAGTGGGCTGTTATTCATGTAGTATAGTGAGCTGTTATTCATGTATTATAGTGGGCTGTTATTCATGTAGTATAGTGGGCTGTTATTCATGTATTATAGTGGGCTGTTATTCATGTAGTATAGTGGGCTGTTATTCATGTAGTATAGTGGGCTGTTATTCATGTAGTCTAGTGAGCTGTTATTCAGGTAGTATAGTGGGCTGTTATTCATGTAGTATAGTGGGCTGTTATTCATGTAGTATAGTGGGCTGTTATTCATGTAGTATAGTGGGCTGTTATTCATATAGTATAGTGGGCTGTTATTCATGTAGTATAGTGTGCTGTTATTCATGTAGTATAGTGGGCTGTTATTCATGTAGTATAGTGGGCTGTTATTCATGTATTATAGTGGGCTGTTATTCATGTAGTATAGTCGGCTGTTATTCATGTAGTATAGTGGGCTGTTATTCATGTAGTCTAGTGAGCTGTTATTCAGGTAGTATAGTGGGCTGTTATTCATGTAGTATAGTGGGCTGTTATTCATGTAGTATAGTGGGCTGTTATTCAGGTAGTATAGTGGGCTGTTATTCATGTAGTATAGTGGGCTGTTATTCATGTAGTATAGTGGGCTGTTATTCATGTAGTATAGTGGGCTGTTATTCATGTAGTATAGTGGGCTGTTATTCATGTAGTATAGTGGGCTGTTATTCATTTCTCGGTTGCTAGGTGAAGGCATCATGTGACATTGTTTACATTAAGTCATAAACCAGGTGGCACATGCCGAAAGGCAATTGGCTGAATATCTGGGGGTTTACATATGCAGAACATGTGCAGAATATAAAGGCACTGCCATTGGCTGTCGCTGGCTGTGGACAGAGAACCTCCTGTGGGGTGAAGGTTCGGGTGGGGGGGGTCTTTCTAGGACCCTGGGAAATTCTCTCAGGATGATCAGGGTGTAATTATCTGTGCATATTGCCAATTGTATTGCTTGCGTACATTGTCTTCAGGATATCAGTGAGTGTGTTTTCCGTCAGCTTAGACCGTGGACTGATAATATTTGAGAAATCTCCCTCTGCCAGATGGAGGGACATTCACTGTGTTTCACGCCCACAACCCGTGCAGCCTATCAATCTCTCCAGCACCAGGGCATCATGGGTATTATGTATCATCAGAATGGAGGAAAAACACATCAGTCAGCGATGACACCACTGTCTCTGTCAGAGGCCCTGGACCAAGAGATGGATAGAGGGTGGGAGAGAGAGAGAAGGAAGAGAGAAAGACACAGCTAGAGAAAGACTGAGAGAGACAGAGAGAGAGAGAGAGAGAGAGAGAAAGAAAGAAGAGAGAAACACACAGCTAGAGAAAGAGAGAGAGAGAGAAAGAAAAAAGGAGAGAGAATCAAGTAAGACAACAGCGAAAGGAGAATGTAAAGATGGGGAGGGAGGAGAGAAGAGTTAAAAGAAGGTTGGGAGAGAGGGGAGAAAAGAGAGAGAGAGTGGTAAGAAGGAAGAGAGAGGTGAGGTGGAAGAGAGAGGAGAGGTGGAAGAGAGAGGAGAGGTGGAAGAGAGGAGAGGTGGAAGAAAGGGGTGAGATGAAAAGCTAGAGAGGTAGATGGGGAGAGAAAAGAGAGAGAGAAGAGGTGAAGAGAGAGTGTGAAAAGAAAGAACATGAGGTGTAAAGAAGAGAACATGTGCGTTCACATAAAAGTAATTAATCACCAGTTCGTCCTCCATGTCTGTGCTGACGGGTGGAACGGGAGAACGATGGGTTCTGGGGGTGTGTGGGGCAAGGTGATCATGACGAAGAAATGAGAGGAAGACATGTGACAACTCCTCTCCTGGTTTCTCCTCCCTCTCCCTAGTGCATACCTCCTCTTTAAATACGGTTCCTAATTGATTTAACACATGTTAAAGTCACCTTCCTTAATTGATTAGTGGAGGCCAGGATGCTGGGTTGGTTAATTGGTTCTTATTCATTGATTATGTACTTTTGTACATGTTTATCACACATGTTCACCCCTCGCATGTTTGACACCATCATGCATGTTCATGTGTGTTTGTCCGTTTAGTTCGTCTGTTTGCATGTTCATTAGTGTGTATCAGTGTTTATTAGTGTGTGTGTGTGTGTGTGTGTTTTTCCTTCACCAGAAGCAGACTAAGGTCATTGATTGAGGTTATTGATTGTGTTTAATATTACATGAAGATGTGCGTACCAGTGGAACTGGATATCACACTCCTGACACCTTTACATACCCGAGACTGGGGGAGTTGGGGTGGTGGGGGGGAGGGGGGGAAGGAAGGAGGGAGGGGGTGAGGGAAGGAAGGAGGGAGGGGGCGAGGGAAGGAAGGAGGGAGGGGTGAGGGAAGGAAGGAGGGAGGGGGCGAGGGAAGGAAGGAGGGAGGAAGGGGCGAGGGAAGGATATAAAGTGAGAGGGAGGGGTAACATAAAGCCATTATGGTAGAGGATCATCTATTCGTATTCGTGATGACCTCATTTCATCTATATATATATATATCATCTATATATACACAGACAGAGGTGATAGGCTGAGAGACGTCTCCTTAACGACCACATGGAGACAGCAGAACATTTCATCAGGACACATCATCAGGGTCTGCTATCTATAGGAACTATTGCCTTAGGACCACAAGCTTTACATTTTAAAGTAACTTAGTAATTCATGCCTTAGATAAATACAACAATACAAGCCAATGGCATCACTGTAGTAGGGAATACGTCATCAGAATATTAATTTTACATTTTGAAACAATTTTATGTGGATATTTGCTGTGATACGAACAAGCTGGGGTTTTCTGGTAAGATCACCACAGAGGCAAACCAATCAAATTAGATCAAATAGTTGTTTGATTGGTCCAGATATAATGTTTGTACAAACAAGTACAGAAATAGACTTCCTGTGTGAATACAGTCTTAACCAGTATTTGTAGGGAAACACAGTTTAAAACCCAACCTCTTCTGATTCAGCACATTAAACAGTCACATTGCATCCAGGGAAATCTGCCCAAGACAGGGAAGAACACACGCCTGGATGAGGGAAGAAGAGATGGGGACGAACAGCGAGGAGCAGGGAGAGAGGAGCAGGGAGAGAGGAGCAGGAGAGAGGAACGCTGAGGAGAAGAGGGGGAAGAGGAGTAAACAAAAGAGAAGAGAGGGGAGAGAAAAGTGTAAAACAGGAAATAAACGAACACAGAAATTAGAAAGTAGAAAGTGAGGCCCCGTAAGATTGATCTGAAGTAAACTGACAGGACAGTACAGAACAGAGGGAAAAGATGTGGAAGGAGAGAGAGGGAGGGAGAGTGAGAGAGGAAGGGAGAGAGTGAGAGGCAGAAAGTGTA